GCGGTAACCAATCCGAGTGGAGCCTTGGGTCACGGCAGAAAGAGAGGGAGCTTCGGTGGGTCCACTCTGACTTACTCAGTTTAAGGGCTCACTGAAGTCTGCAGCGTCTGCAGCGTAGGTGCGGCTGCAAGCGGGTGTCTGCTTGGAGCAAACGGCTCGCTATATAAACGTGTATTTGGTTGCGAAACCACACCCGTCCCAGAAATGGGTTGTGCGCTGGGCTTGGGACCCGCCACGTAAAAACCGCTTGCAGTGAAGAAGCAAGGCAAAGCCTCGGACGAGACCCGTCCTTATGATGGCGACCACGGCAAACGTTTAAAGGACTACGATTTGAGGGCATGCACCTGGAATGCCGGACCCTTAATGGGGAAGGTGCCTCTGCCCGGCTGGTTGATGTCCTCGTAAGGACAAAAGCTGACATCACCGCCATCCAAGAAATGCGTTGGACGGGGCAAGGCAAACAATGTATGGGGCCTTGCGACGTTTACTACAGCTGCCATGTAAAGGAGCGCAAATTCGGAGTTGGATCTGTGGTGGGAGATAGACTCCGTCGCCGAGTACTGTCGTTGACCCCGGTGGACGAGCGTCTAGCCACAATCCGCATCAAAGCGAGATTCTTCAACATCTCGCTCATCTGCGCCCATACCCCGACGGAAGTGAAGGATGAGGCATCCAAGGATCTCATCTATGAGCGCTTGGAGCACACGTACGAGCGCTGCCCCGTCATGATATCAAAATCGTGCTTGGCGACTTCAATGCCAGGGTGGACAAAGAAGGGATCTTTGGAACCACCGTCGGAAAATTCAGCCTCCACGACGAAACGTCCGACAACGGATTGAGGCTAATCGACTTCGCCGGGGCCCCAAACATGGTAGTATGCAGTACTAGGTTCAAGCATAAAAAGATCCATCAAGCTACGTGGCTGTCTCCGGATCGAAAAACGAGAAACCAAATCGATCATGTTGTGATAGACGGAAGGCACGCTTCCAGTGTTTTAGACGTACGCACACTCCGAGGCCCAAACATCGACTCGGACCACTATCTTGTTGCAGCCAAGATACGCACCCGCCTCTGTGCAGCAAAAAACGTGCACCCAAATATGCAAGGAAAGCTTAACGTCGAAAAGCTGCAATCACAACAGACAGCCAGCGCTTTCGCTACTAGACTCTCACACCTGCTCTCAGAGAGCACTCTTCAACAAACCGACATATGCGAGCAGTGGAACCACATTTCCCGCTCATTAAGTACCGCCGCCGAAGAAGTAGTCGGATTTCAGCGAGCCCGAAAGAACAACTGGTACGATGAGGAGTGTCAGGAAGCTGCAGAAAAAAAAGATGCCGCCTACAGGGCCACGCTGCGATCGGGCGCAACGCGCGCTATGTGGGACCGCTATAGTGATCTGAAGAGGGAAGCGAGACGTATTTGCCGCAACAAGAAGAGAGAGGCCGAAATACGTGAGTGCGAAGAGCTTGAAATGCTGGCCGACAGGAGGAATGCCCGAAAATTTTACCAGAGAGTTAGGCGACTTACGGAAGGTTTAAAGACCGGGGCGCACTCCTGTAAGAACAATAATGGCGACATAGTAACTGATGTCCAGAGCGTACTTAAGTTATGGAAGGAACACTTTTCCACCCTACTAAATGGTAGCAGCACGGAAAGTTGTGGAGAAGAAGAACCCGAGCCCACAGTCGATGATGACGGAGTCGACGTTCCACCGCCTGACTATGACGAGGTACGTATAGCAATAACGCGGCTGAAAAACAACAAAGCCGCTGGAGCTGACAGCCTGCCAGCTGAGCTATTCAAGTACGGCGGCGGGGAGTGAAAAGGTGCATGCATCAACTCTTGTGCAGAATATGGTCAGATAAACGCATGCCCGACGACTGGAATTTAAGTGTGCTCTGCCCAATCCACAAGAAAGGTGACCCCGCCATCCGCGCCAACTACCGCGGGATCAGCCTTCTAAGCATAGGTTACAAGGTCTTATCGAGCGTATTGTGTGAAAGACTGAAGCCCACCGTCAATGAACTGACTGGGCCTTATCAGTGTGGCTTTAGACCTGGAAAATCCACCATAGACCAGGTATTCACAATACGCCAAATCTTGGAAAAGACCCGCGAGAAAAGGATCGACACTCACCACCTATTTGTCGACTTCAAGCCCCTTTTGACAGCACTAAAAGGAGTTGCCTATACGCCGCTATGTCAGAATTTGGCATCCCCTCAAAACTCATACGGCTGTGGAAAATAGCGTTGAGCAATACCACCAGCTCCGTCAGAATTGGAAAAGACCTCTCCGAGCCGTTCGCCACAAAACGGGGTTTCAGGCAGGGCGACTCCCTGTCAAGTGACTTCTTTAATCTGATGTTGGAGAAGATAATAAGAGCTGCAGAAGTGAACCGCTCAGGAACAATTTACTACAAGAGCGTGCATTTGCTGGCTTATGCCGATGACATCGACATCATTGGTAACAAAAACCGCGAAGTCTGTTCTGCCTTTTCCAAGTTGAATAGGGAAGCAAAGCGCATGGGTCTGGTGGTAAACGAGGACAAGACGAAGTATCTCCTGTCATCAAACAAACAGTCAGCACATTCGCGCCTTGGCACCCACGTCACTGTTGACAGTTACAATTTCGAGAAAGTAGAGAATTTCGTTTACTTGGGAACCAGCATTAACACCGATAATAATGTCAGCATTGAAATCCAACTTAGAATCACCCTTGCCAACAAGTTCTACTTTGGACTGAGTAAGCAATTCAGGAGTAAAGTCCTCTCTCGACGTACGAAAACCGCGCTCTATAATTCACTCATCATGCCCGTGCTGGTATATGGCGCAGAAGCATGGACAATGACAACATCCGATGAGGCGGCTCTTGGAGTGTTTGAGAGAAATATTTTGCGGAAGATTTACGGTACTTTACGCGTTGGCGACGGCGAGTACCGCAGACGATGGAACGATGAGCTGTATGAGCTTCACAACGATATGGACATAGTGCAGCGAATTAAAATACAGCGGCTCCGCTGGCTTGGCCATGTCGTTCGAATGGACACCGACGCTCCAGCTCTGAATGTATTCAAGTCGGAACCCGCTGGTGGTAGCAGAGGAAGAGGGGGGCCCCCACTGCGATGGAAAGATCAGGTGGAGAAGGACTTGGCTTCACTTGGCGTTTCCAATTGGCGTCAGTTGGCACAGAGGAGAAACGACTGGCGTGCTTTGCTGAACTCGCCCAAAATCGCTTAGGCGGTTACAGCGCCAAAAAAGAAGAAGAAGAAGATTACATATTTGTTTACTATCATATCCATAAGAATCAATATGATAATGTAAAATTTCGGTGTTCATTTTATTTGTCCTGAATTCGAAAAAGCATCTGAGAAGTGCAGGAAAAAAGTGTATTCCAAGTAATTTTCGTATAACGATATTCAGAAAAAAACTTGTTTAAAGAAAACAAACTGTCGGTTACGTCTGCATGACTCCTGCATGACTTTACAACTCACTTTGAGTTGATTTTGTCATAGTTAATTAAATGTGAGGTATTTATCGATCCCCGCAAAAAAAGCTAAATAACTACAAGTTGTTAATTTTATGAATTAATATTTTTTCACTGCAGGATAACTACGAAAAATAAATACATATGAATGTACATATATGTAAATGCATTGGAGTGTATATGTTCGTATATTCGCTTGTAACGGGTGATTTTTTTGAGGTTAGGATTTTCATGCATTAGTATTTGACAGATCACGTGGGATTTCAGACATGGTGTCAAAGAGAAAGATGCTCAGTATGCTTTGAAATTTCATCATGAATAGACTTACTAACGAGCAACGCTTGCAAATCATTGAATTTTATTACCAAAATCAGTGTTCGGTTCGAAATGTGTTTCGCGCTTTACGTCCGATTTATGGTCTACATAATCGACCAAGTGAGCAAACAATTAATGCGATTGTGACCAAGTTTCGCACTCAGTTTACTTTATTGGACATTAAACCAACCACACGAATGCGTACAGTGCGTACAGAAGAGAATATTGCGTCTGTTTCTGAGAGTGTTGCTGAAGACCGTGAAATGTCGATTCGTCGCCGTTCGCAGCAATTGGGTTTGTGTTATTCGACCACATGGAAGATTTTACGCAAAGATCTTGGTGTAAAACCGTATAAAATACAGCTCGTGCAGAACTGAAGCCGAACGATCTGCCACAACGTCGAATTTTCAGTGAATGGGCCCTAGAAAAGTTGGCAGAAAATCCGCTTTTTTATCGACAAATTTTGTTCAGCGATGAGGCTCATTTCTGGTTGAATGGCTTCGTAAATAAGCAAAATTGCCGCATTTGGAGTGAAGAGCAACCAGAAGCCGTTCAAGAACTGCCCATGCATCCCGAAAAAATGCACTGTTTGGTGTGGTTTGTACGCTGGTGGAATCATTGGACCGTATTTTTTCAAAGATGCTGTTGGACGCAACGTTACGGTGAATGGCGATCGCTATCGTTCGATGCTAACAAACTTTTTGTTGCCAAAAAATGGAAGAACTGAACTTGGTTGACATGTGGTTTCAACAAGATGGCGCTACATGCCACACAACTCGCGATTCTATGGCCATTTTGAGGGAAAACTTCGGAGAACAATTCATCTCAAGAAATGGACCGGTAAGTTGGCCACCAAGATCATGCGATTTGACGCCTTTAGACTATTTTTTGTGGGGCTACGTCAAGTCTAAAGTCTACAGAAATAAGCCAGCAACTATTCCAGCTTTGGAAGACAACATTTCCGAAGAAATTCGGGCTATTCCGGCCGAAATGCTCGAAAAAGTTGCCCAAAATTGGACTTTCCGAATGGACCACCTAAGACGCAGCCGCGGTCAACATTTTAATGAAATTATCTTCAAAAAGTAAATGTCATGGACCAATCTAACGTTTCAAATAAAGAACCGATGAGATTTTGCAAATTTTATGCGTTTTTTTTAAAAAAAAAGTTATCAAGCTCTTAAAAAATCACCCGTTACTATGTGTGTATGTATGTATATTAGGTATGCCATCATGAGAGTATCAATGCACGAAATAATTTTTTGTGGATTCAGTTTGTGTGTCTTTATTTTGATATTGATTTATTCCATTTGCATTTAGTATTAATTTTAGCTGGATCTGTGTATTTTTATTGGCGTTTACATCAATATTATAAAAGATCTGGTGGTAGTATGTATTAATGTCAACAAATAAATATACTGTAAATAATTATTCGGGTGTTCATCGGTATGTGGTGGTTTTCCTCTCTTTTGTTATTTATTGTAGTACTTTGTACTCGGTTTTGTTTTTGTATTGTAGTTTGAGCAAATCTGGCATTGAGGCGTTTACAGCAATGCAAAGTAAGCGTGTTCTCTTCTTAATTTCAATGGCAGGCATAAGCTCTTCTATTTGCTGGTGTACAAAAACAACAAAACATTTTATGTAGCAGATAAATTTAATTCGTGTCCAAATGTTCATGAAGTTAAATCTACTTCGATGTGAAAAAGATCGAGTTCAGTCTCTTATTCCACCTACCTTTCGACTTCTATATCCAAAGACTAGATTCTTTCTTTTCCGGTTACAGTTTCTTTTTTTCGACGTGAATAAGCATATGTAGAGATTTTTTTATAAAAGCAATTTAACAGTTAATTTTTTATCATTTTATTTTGACCACATCCTGGCGTTTTTTGGTCCAATTTTCCATTGTCCACATTCTAGCATTACTTACGTATGTATTTTATTTTTATTTTAAAACTGTTTTCGTGTTATCAAAGAAAGCGCTCTTTCTCACATTTTGTATAAAATCGTAATTTTTTGATGCTTCATTTAACGACTGCAATTAAAACGTGTTTTTTTTTATTCCTACAAAATAACTATTCATTTAGAACAGTTCCGGATACACTCATACAATCACATTTTTGGCAGGTTTTAAAAGCTCAAAAAGCTCATCGCTTCACCTAAAGATAGTACCAGCGTGTCACAAAAATGTTTGTAACTCTCAAGACAACGTGACCAACATTTAATTAAAAAAAAATAAACATAAAATGTTAGTATAATATAAAAATTTTATATACTATGTAAATTTTTTGTGGATGAACAGAAAAAAGGACATAAATCAGCGCCGATCAGAGGTCGAAGGCTCTTAAAAGCGTTTTCTCGCGAGTATAGGCCCTGGGCATTAGTGGTGTAGAAATATGTATGTGGCTAAAAATTAAAATTAAATTATCAGAGGGATTCATGGTAAACATTATGCAGTCATTGACCATTCCGGCGTCGTCCAATACCCCTATGTAACTGACCCTTTTGCTCATTAAAGTACTCGATGCTACTCAAAGTATCGCTGGAAAGCACTCGATTCTACTTGTACACAAAAGTACTCAAAATTTAATTCAACGACCGTTTCTCTCTTTTAAGTATTTAAAATACACAGTGAAGATAGGCTATTTATTATTTGTAACTATTTATATTTTGTTACTCCCTGCCTTAAAAAACGGTCATTAACAAGGAACTGAATTGGCGACAACGCAAATTAGAATACGTGGAAGCCAATAAAGCGCAGCAAAATTACCTTCCGTATCCTCCTATCCTAAAATGGGGTTACTTAAAAGTGCTGAAACGGGAGGCGTTAAGTTTTAAGAAAACTCAAAGTTTTTTGGTTTTTGATTTTCTGATTCAAAAGGAATTATCGACGATGCTTTCAAAAAACATAGGCTGCCTCCACATCTCCCTCTGATTCGCTACTACTTGTGCTCTCCACAGAGTACACAAAATACTCAGTACCTGGTAGAAGTACTCGAGTATATATTTTTAAGTACTGATATCGGAACATCACTCGTCGCACTTTTTGCAGCTAATTTTAAAGAGCACACTGCCGCAAATTCATTAGGGGTATTCTCTGAGTCTTGCAAAGCCCTGGCACGGTGCACGGATTGCACGGTTTGCAAAGCTGTCCCATACGAAAACCGGTTTTTACCGTGCAATCCGTGCAATCTGTGCACCATGCAAGGGCTTTGCAAGACTCAGAGAATACCCCTATTATGTCTTGTTTTCCGGCGAGGAAATGCTTCGCAGAATATTGGATGACCCATTTTTTTGTTTGTAATTATTGCGGTAAAACAAAAACATATCATATCAAAATATCAAAATTACAATAAGTACTTAATAGAATTGTTTTAGTCTTTACATATTGTCGTCATTAAAGCAAAAATCTCTATTTGACAAGTTTTTAGAAATTCGCTTTTTTTATTTTCTGTCAGTTGGGCCTTAGATACACCCCTATACCAAAATTCAAAGCCATGTCTTAAAAATACAAGATTTATTAAAATCCTTAAGAGCTTTGTTAGCATTTCTCTTAAAATTTTAATTTTTTATATTCTCTTGTAAAATTTTAAATTTGTCAAATAGGCCCTTTGCATTGCATCTAGTCTCTTTGGTGTGTGAAACCCAGAGAGATGTTTTTGTAAGTCCCAAAAATTCCGTGATTGTCGGGATTTGTAATTTGCAATGGTGGCAATAATAGAATGCCTTATGTTGACCAGTTTTCGCTATATTTCTTTTGTTTTATTAATATTTAATATTTTTGTATATATGTCTAGCTTATTATACATACGCACAGCACCGTGCGACAGGCAATTTTACGCACAAAAAAATCTGGGCCAAATATATGCAGTAAAATTGCGTTTTTTCTTGCTGACGTCAGGATTTTTTAAAAACTTTGAAAATTGAATAATATGAGTAATTCACAAAATGATTTAAAAAATGCACTTAGGAAAACAGTATGCGTATCACATTAAAGAGAATATTCTGTAGAGAAAGAACAGATTAAATTTTTTGGTGCATAAGTTATTGAAAATGTCCTTAAAAATTATATACTTGAATATCCTTGGAATTTTGCAATATTTATTTTGAAAAAATTATATGTTAAGGACTAATATAAATTCGACAACGTCCGCGAATATAGTCCGTCTAACTTTATTAGCTTAAAAAAATTAAATTGATTAAAGAAAATGCCCTGCATCGTTTAAAAAATTCCCAAAAAATCAACGGTATTTTGTAACTGCATGAAACTTGCATTTCATCATACTTCAAATTAATGGGCTATAAAACTGCGATCCTCAAGTTTTTTCTAAAAATGCTGAGTAAAAAGTTTGAAATATTGGACTTTTTTTTGTATTTTTATAATTTTTGTATTATTATTGTAATTTAAATCAGATGAGGTAGACATATAAAAAAATTTACATATTAAATAAAGAAAAGTGGTATAGACTAAACTGGTTGAAATAAGGCGTTTCTTTTATTTCTGCCACGAGTATTATGAACTTCTTTCAGCCACACAATACATATCGCACACCGTCTTTAAAAGAGTCACAACTCAAAATTTGGCATTTTTGAGATTATGCACTAAAAATGCACGCAGAGCTTTTATTTACCTTTCAGCAAAATATGGAGTAAATCTGTGTTATAATTTGTTACAAAAAAAACCTAAGGTAAAGTTACCCTTGCCCATATAATTACCATGTGATAAAAAATAGTTATTCGCCTTTTCTGGCAAACGTATTATTATGGGTTGTGACTCTTTTGAGGACGGTGTGCGATATGTTGACTTAAGTTTTTTATTGCATCGAGCTTCAGTTAGTTTATCGGATATGTAAACGCTAAAGTATTGTTCAATGCGTATAAATTCAATTACTGTCTTTTGTTATATTACTAATGAAATATTTTTCAACTTAAATAATAAAGTAGATTTCGAACCCATTTATTTATTATTTATTATATGGTAGGACAGCTTCTGGAACTATATTGATACAATTTTTTCATGTTAAGTTATTGGAAAATAATGAATATCTAAATCCCGGGACTAATCCCGGGATTGTACGAACGATGTTCCGAAAATCCCGGGATCGCAAAAATCGAAAAAATTAACATCCCTAGTGAGAGCACGTAACTTGCTGAAGACCTCAAATACGACTTTAATGCCAGGATGGACAAACAAGGCATATTTGGTCCAACAGTCGGAGAATTTAGCATTCATGACAACACCTTCGACAACGGAGAGAGACTAATCGACTTCGCGGGGCATGGTGAATGGTGGTTAGTAGTATCAGACACCAGCATTGAAACATCCGCAAAGCCACTTGGGTATCCCCTGATCAAAGAACGAAGAGCCAAATATATCATGTTGTGATAAACAGAAGATATGCTTCGAGCGTTCTTGACGTGCGCTAAATCCGAGGTGCCAGCATCGACTCGGATCACTACCTTGTTGAAGCTAAGGTCCGCATGCGCCTCTGTACAATAAAAAAACCAGCGTCAGGCAACGCGGTGAAAGTTCGACGTCGCAAAGCAGCAGTCGCAACGGAAAGCCGAAAAATTTAGTAATCGACTCTCAATCCTGCTTAATCAAGCAACTCCTCGTCGCCTGGACATAAATGAGAGTGGAATTCCATCTCCAAATCCCTTCGTACCGCTGTGGACGTGGCTGTTGCTTATTATTAACCACGCAGAAACAACTGGTATGACGAAGAGTGCCGCACGGCTGCCTTTTCGAGAGAAATAAAAGAGAGGCAAAAAGGAGTGAGTGCGAAGAGCTTGAAATGCTGGCAGGTAGTAATGCGGCTCTAAAATTCTATCAGAAAATAAGGCAGGAATTAAATGATCTTAAGACCGGCGCTAGCTCCGGCAAAGATGAAGACGGAAATCTGGTCACGTATGTCCAGAGTACGCGTGAGATATGGCGACACAGGTGGCGGGTTTGATGAAGGAGGACCCGAACCAATGTATAGGGACTAAGCTTACGTCTCTCTACTCTACCAAGGCGAGGTGTGAACAGCAATAAGGCGGCATAAGAACAACAAGGCCCGTGGAGCTGACTGTATACCGCTGGGATGTTCAAAGCCGCAGAGAAGAGTTTTTGGGGCGCATGTACCAGCTCTTAAGCCGAATTTGGTCTGATGAATACATTTCCGAAGATTGGTATCTCAGTGTTCTTTGCCTAATCCACTGCGCCAACTATCGCAGAATAAGCCTTCTGAATATTGCGTACAAGTTCCTGTCAACGATATTGTTTGAAAGCTTGAAGCCGTTCACAAACCAACCGATTGGACCTTATAAGTGTCGCTTCAGACCTGGTAAGACCACCATTGACTAGATTTTCAAAGCACGTCAAATTCTGGACAAGGCACTTGATAAACAAATTGGCACGAATCATCTTTTTGTCGACTTTAAATGGGAAACAATTGTTTCTATGAAATCGGGGCAGGAAATAATGTTATTGATGCGTCATATCTTAAATGACGTACTCGTACATGGCATAAAAGTAACATTTCTATGTTAGAATTGAATCTTTTCTCAATGCGAACCTATCACGATAATATCCTGAATCAACGACCCACAATTATGTCTACGCATCCTATCATATTTGTATCCTCTTTTAGAAGATATCGTCTTGGACAATCAGACTTCAAAAAGGAGCTAAGGACGAACTTGCACAGCTTTATATAGTCGAAAATTTTAAAAACAATGTTTGTGATTGTGTGCTAGTCTAACCTTATCCGAATATACCATTCGAATGAAATCGTATCCAAAAAATATTGCTGACGATTGTATTATTTTAGAGTTCCCAACGTTGTCGGAAGAGATTTGTATGTTTTTTTTTTATATCTCACAAGGAAAGTTGAATGGGTCGAGAAAATCTGTTTTTACTTTTCATCAATTCTTATAGCAGATGCTACACTTTTCTCACACTTTAACAAAAAATGTACGCATCAAACTCACTTGTTAACTTCAAAGTCATTCTTTTGGAGCCACAATTTTGATCAATAAGTAAATTTCAAACTGTATACTAGAAATATAATTAAAGGACAAGCGCTGAAAATCTCCTTTCATAGATAAATTTAGAGTCGAGCACCAAAAATAGTATTGGAACACAGGACACAATGAACCTACATACGCAGCACTCACGGCACACACTTGAGCATGCATGCAGCCGTAGAGTAAAAGTCGTTGTAAGCAAAACTGCACAATAACGAGCAAGTCACACGCACAAAGCAGGCCAAAATGTTGTTAGTCTTACGCGACTGAAGGATCGACCAACTTTGCTACGCTTTGCAGTTCATGTAAGCGACATGTGGCATGTGCCACTGATGTGCTGATGGGTGGGTGGTAGGGAGACGTAGGAGTGGGGAGAGGGGGAGCGGGAAGTGGATGGTCGGAGAATACGAACGACCTTAGGATAAAGAGCAGAGCAGCCAAGCGTGCAATACGAACATGCTTGCGGACGAGTTTGCGCGCATACATATGTACGAGTGTGAATTATTTTTACACATTGCTATATGTATGTTCGTGTGAGTCTGTGAGTATGTCAGCTGGCGTAGGACGTAGGACGTAAATACAGCAACTGCAAATAAAACGGAGGGGTACAAAAGAATTGGGTAAAGAAATACATAAATAAATTTGTATGTATGTATGTATGTGCATGTATTAATAAAGGTAGCTGAAGAAAACTGACAGACGACATAATGATTAACTCTTGTAGGAGTTGCGATAGCAAGCATATGGAAGCGCCAGACATATTTCTTCAACGCAAAAGCCCATCGGTAATAGAGAATTGCAATTCAATGCGATTAAATAGAATTACATCGAAAACAGCCAGAGGCAAGTTAATGATTTATTAAATGTCCACCGAGATTTGGAAAGATGGCTGGTGTTGCTTCAAGCGCAACGAACTCAGCCAGAAAAAAATTATAAGCAATATACATACATATGTATATCATTGTAAATTAGGTGGAGAGCAAAAAATAAAAATACAAATAACAGAAACAAAAACAAAAAAACTACGCCAAATTTATTGCTTTCATTGATTTTCCTTTCTTTTTGAACGACAGCTGGATAAGTTTTGTATTAGTTCCGGTAGCATGAAATATATTTTTATTTACAAAGAAAAAAAAACTGAAAACGCATACCATGTACAAATGTATGTATTTATGTTCACCTCGCTTTCGTTTTCTTAGTCAAATATTAAATTTATTTTTATCTGTTACTGTTTTACGTTGTAATTATTTTTTTCAGGTTTAATATTCATCTACTTTTTTCACTAGACTTGTGATTTTCGAACATTTTTAACTTTTGATTTAGTTTTTTTTCGGCGCTTTGGAAATCAGCGCGATTTTTTCGATATCTTTAGTCCGTTTTCTTCCTTTTATTTTCTCTAAGTTTTTTTTCGGTATTTTTCACACAATTTTCTATGTGCATACATAGATTTTACTTATTTAAATTTTTCTTTAACGCACACATTTGTAGATAACTTTCTGTGTATGCATGCATTTTACACAGTGTTGCCACAAAAAAATTGCCAAATTCCTCAAAAACAAATGAAAAATCCTCAAAATCCGAACAAATTACTCAAACTTTTTTTATTAGAGATATGAGTATTATGTACTACTATTTACAGGTATAGTATAAAAATCAATTACATTCTCCAATTCAGTTGGTACATTTGTTCTTGCGGCTCAAACAAAGTATCGCCGCTATTTTTACTGCCTTGATTTTTATATAATATTGCTGCAACTATATCAGTGCTCAATCTGGTTCTCAAGTCAGGCCTACACATTTTTAAACTACTAAATATACATTCTACTAAAGCATTAGAAAAGGGCTATATTAGTAATGCAGATATAATTAATTTTTTATTGGGAAACTTATATGAACCTGAGGAATCTTTTGATTCAAAAACTTTTTCCTATAATTTTTTGGATCTAAAATGAAGAATCAATATGAATATTCTTATGATCAAACAATGCGTGTTCTCTCCATTCGATATCGAGATTTTGCAAGTTCAAAATAAGTTGCGCCAAGTTGACGCAAGAGAGAAAAATGGAAGAAAACCAAGCTCTTTTACATTGTAAACTGAAAGAAAACTAAAATTCTTTACTTGAACGAGTCATGTTTGCATGGTGTATGGCGAAATGCGAAAAGTAGGTTTGAAGAATGTTATACAAACCGCTTGTGTGGTGTAGTTCGCTCCTTGTAAAACTTCGAAAAGCTTTTTGTTCAAAAATTTCCAAAGCGATTTAACAACTCTGTTGTGTAAAACATGGTTGCATTTGTTATCGGCAAATATATCGAGGGAAAATTCCTCAAAATAAAAATCCTCACAAAATACTCAAACTCAACGGAAATTCCTCACGTTTTGAGGAACTACTCACATAGTGGCAACACTGATTTTACACCTTTTGTGCGTAAAATGCAATGCTCGGTTTGCTCGCTATGAGCTGCCTCCTGAATGCCAGTCAACTCAAGGACATTTACAAAAAACACTATGCTTTACATTCTTCATGGCGAATTTCCACTGAAAACACTCGTATCTTTGTACATAATTGCATTAATTTGCGTTTGACATATTCGATGAATTAGTGATTTAAAACACAAATTTCGTACACATAGCAGCATTTCAGCAACACGAAATCATCAATAAATTTGTGGGTGTTTCATACGCCCAGCTGTAAGTTCGGTCGAAACGCGTGTGCAACAAAATCTATAATAATAGCCGTGCACAAGTTGCGCCGCGAAGGAAACTGGCTTTAAAGTCAAATGTTTTTTCTTTGACGAAATTTTATTATTCTATGTGTTAGTTTTTTTTCTCAATGATTTTCTTCACACTCAGTCTCATTAAAACACTTAGAACCGCTAGGCGTTCGCGTTGCACGCTCGCCAAAATGTTTACACGCTTTTGAAGTTCATCGAAAACTAATTCCATTTCGATTTTGCAAAAACCTCGAATGGAAAATTTTTGAAGACTTCCAGTGTCATTCCATGGCGACGCTTCCACGATGTCTGAACTAAAAATAAAGTCACGCTGTCTCAAACCCAAACTCACAAACATACACACATTGTACATACATACTTTTACATTCAAAAGGAAACACACACACACACCAACGGATTTGTTGAGCGTAGCCGCCGACCAAAAGCAAGTTCTAGTTTTCATTTTAAATATTTTCCACAATGTTGCAACAAAAATTTTGTGGCCAAACCAGCTAGTGGGTGGATAGTAGGTTAACATTTGCCTTGCGCGTTGGTGTTGTTGTTGCTGTTAAACGAACCCTTCACTTCGTAGTAGTAGTATGCGTAGTGCTGCCATTGCTGTCATTCTGTTGCCTTCTGTTTTGCTTCATTTCGGTTCCAATGGAAATGTGTGCTATTGTGAATGAGCAACTGATGCTAAATAACAGTATCTACGTATGTTTGTTATTTTGGCTGGATGCCTTGTTGTTTTGCGAGCGCATACATTTTGGTTGCAAAGGCGTTAAGCATTGGCTCCACTGTTTTTATCGCACGCATCGAAATGCCGCATTTAACGATTGGTTGTTGGCTTTGGGCCATTGGCTTCGCAGTTGTTGACATCTTTGTGTGCTAATTGAAATCGAGTTCTTATCGAGCGTGTAATGTGGGTCAGCTAACCAGCCAACGGCCGATCAAACTGACGCCATTTGATTGATGTAATTTGAAAGCGGGGCTGGGGCGTATGAGTGATGCAAAAGTTTTCGAATTCACAAAAAATTTTTAAACTATTACGTTTACGCTTACTAATGCTTATAGGCTGATAACTTTATAATGTTGCAAAGAAAGCTATTTCGAGAAATCAAAATGCATAGTTTTGCGCCTCTTTGGTAGCTGTTAAGCGCTAAAGAGCAATTAAAGTCGATAATATTTTCGGCTAAACTTATAGACAAAAAATTCGTGAATCTTTGGTTCCCTCAAGATGCTTAGTTCGGTAATGGAGCTATCAAGTCTGCCACAGTTGGGAACGAATTTTGTTTATGGCTTTCCAGTCGATAACTTAGTAATGAACTTAGCTCTGAATGTCGAAATCATTCCGAAACTAAAAGCAGAAATCATTTAAGAGGACTGTAAAGAAAGTGTTCGCAGAAAAATGAATATAAACCTGAAGCTTTAAACTTAGCTCAGAACCCGATACAAAGCTAAGTGAAAAATGAATTAAACTGCTAGGTGGCGCGGGTGTGGAGATATTTAAAAACTCCCATTTATGGGCAGCAGGCCCGGCCCCCGGTTTGAGGGTTGAAAGACGTTTCCACGATTCGTAATTCGCTCTCCCAATCGTCATACGGCATCGAATTACTCTTCGAATTACGTAATTCGCCATAAAAAATTTTGAGAGCGAATTACCTCATTTGTAGGTAATTCAGATCGAGTTACGATGCGAAAGGATGAACGAATCGGCGCCTTCTCTAACATTTATCGGTAATATATCGACATTTCACAGTCAAAACAAAATAATAAAAAACAAAGACGAGTTAGGCGTAATGAATAAAATATTGTCTATGTATTAAAATGTTTAATGGTAACTAACATTTTTCTCCATCTCCGATATTTTCAGTAAATAAAAATAATAATAAATAGCGAAGGACAAGGACAAATGTGCCGTGGAAACAGGGTAATTCACGAATTATTTGACAATTACTTAGAGCACGAATTACGAATCGTGGAAACGTTGTATAGGTCCCAGATCGGTTCTAATATCACAAAGTAGTTTTAGTGAAAATTGCAGATAGAGCGTATCGAATATGAGCTCTCGTTTTGTTTCTTTGCTAGAGCTTCTAAACTATTGCAAAAGTCAGGATTTTTTGAACCCTTGACCTCGTTTTTTTTCAAAATCTAGAGCTGATGGAAACTTTATGCTTGAGGATTCGTAGTCAGCACAAAAATATCTATCAAAAACAGCTTTAACTTATGCCGTGCCAAGATTGTTTTTTATTTTTGTTGTGTTGTTATCCATTAAAAATTAGCAAAAATTCATATTTCCGGTTTTTCTACAGAAATTTTACCTTATGTGGTCTATTATACCCATCGCACCCTTATTTAGTTATAGTTTTGCAAAATAATTCAATGAATATCGTCATGCATGCGCAGGCAGGGGCCGATTACGAGCACACAATGGGCTAGCTTTTCTCAATATTTCATCGTAATCTGGATGTTAATGTTGACTCAATAATAATTTTTATCTATACCTCGGTGAATTGCATGTGACTTTTCTTTGAGTTGTGCTTAATTATATTCACAATTAAATAGGTACAATATGCCGAATACTCTAAATAAAACAATAATTTTCTTGGTTGTTACAAAGGATTTTACATAAAACCTCCCTAAAGAGAAATTCTGCGGTCGGCCCTGATGAGCAGATATGGTCCATATTTGGAATGTATATCACCTACATGAAAAGAAATAACTACACATAAAAATTTACCCGATAAGTGGCGTAGGGGTCCACATATTTGAAAAACCCGAATTTGTGGTCCTATTTTTTCATATTTAGAGCGTTTTTTATTTAAATGGAAAGAATTAACTCCACAAAATATTTATCCCTTAGGTGGTTTCGGGCTACATGTGTATCTACAAAAGGTTACTGCGACAACTTCCAGGGATATAACTTACATGGGCCTGTGGAAATTATTTCAGATTTAATTCCTAGGCTGATCCGAAAATCATCAAAAAAAGTTTTGCGCCAGAGGTGTTAAGGCCATCCAGTGTTTTTAAAAGAGTGTTTTTAAGAGAGCATACAAACAATAACTTATCATGTTTTCAACACATCCTCTCCAAAAAAGAACAGCAAAAAATGTATGAAGATGTTATCCAAAGATACAGCGACTTTGAAAAACCATATGTAAAATATCAAATTATATTTTACAAATTTGATCTAACCCGCTTCGCTGGATGTATGAAGTTTCTCCATAAGCCCTAAAGTGTAATTTATTTCAATAAAACCAACCATATTTGAACTTAGCCAAAAACATTGGTTATTTTCACATTTAAATTTTTTTATTTTCAAACAAACAAACATATGTATGTACTTTCATTAATAATTTCAATGCCCACTATTTTAGCTTAATGATGCATGCTAGTACTTGTTCAACCGGTGGGCCCCTGTGCGGGTCTATTTTATAAATCTAATTCCCAACTGTGCGATTCGAAAACTTATACAATCATATGTATGTTCATTTGTAAGATAATGAACGTGTGTTAGCTTTATTTGAATGCAGCTTATGATCAGCAAATAGTTGTGTTTTAATAGAATCTCACCGATTGTTCAAATGGGCAATGCTCACAGACGCTTGTTAACATTTTTTTTTTTTTTTTGTGATAGTGATTTATTAATCACCATTATCTTTTATTTTCAGCCCTAAGACTATGTTCAACCAGGCCAATTAGCTGAGGCAATTAAGCGGTATTGAGTTTAGTGTTCACACACACGTCAGCTACCCAATTAGCGATACGAAATCAGCTGTTGGATTACCTACAGTGATGGAAAAGTTATTACAATCGTACCTTTATTTAGTTTGAAAGTACATTCGGTACAAACACACAATTTTAGGTATATTTGGAACGTAGCCAAATAGCTTCTCAGGAAGTAAATTCTTAAATAAATAAATACAAATGATACAGAAGGGTGGTCAACGTAACGCAACTGTAGTTGATTTCGCCAGAGAGATGGAAATTTTTATTTTTTTTTTAAACGTCAGATCGAACAACTAGGAGGAAGTGATTCACCTTTTCTACAACATAATTTT